TTACCTATTTGCTTAAAATAGATGAATAAACTTGTTTTTACTAAGACACTTCCTAATGTTTGATGCTACTTATGCAGGTTTTTATGGTGCTGAATTATCTATAGAATTATAAAATAGGTTTCCTGAAGAGTGATAATAGAAGTACTCTATGAAGTGTCATTTAGATAGAAAATGCAAATAGTGTCCTAGACACTTTGTCAGTATTGGGCTTGTCTTGCATTTTCATAATCAAATTGACATATTACTTTAAACTATATTGCACATTCACATTTTTTATTTTATGAAAGTGGTTGTTTTCACATTGAATCTCTGCTTTGAACTTCTTTTGAAATTAATGCCTTACCTATTGACTCCGGAAATTTGTGGAAAAAATCTCAGCCATCTTTCAGTACTACTCCTTTTTTAATGAGAATTTTTTAATGATTTGTAGATCACTTGGAAAAGGAGAAAATAAAAATGTAGGCATCTCACTGAGAAGTGATTGTCTTTCACCCTGCATATGTGAATATACATGTAGTTCAAAATCGGAAATCATTCTGTAACCTTACTGAGGTGCTAAGTTTGATCTCTGGTTTGGGCCCTACTTTCCTAACCAACCAAGCAATCAAACAAAAAGCTTAAGCTAACTTAGTTCACCTTGTAGTCAAAATCATGTGTCAAACATCAGCCTTTATGTAGTGTTTCATCATATGTAAGTAGTTCCTGTGTCAGTTTTTGGAAGCATGTATTGAGTAGTTATGGATTATTTGTTTGTGGTGAGCTTTTTCCTGTTTGAACTTGAAACATCTCCAGGGTACCTAAGAGATCACGAAGCTTTGTTTCTCCATATTAAGTCAGGTGAGAACAAGTGAAATTTTCACTGTTTGAAAAGTTTTTTTTTTCCTGAAACACTGTACTTCATAAGTGGGGCCTACCTACTGGGAAATGTCCTTTACCAAGGGAAGAGTTTTCCATGTGCAGCCGGTGTCGTGTCAGCTAGAAGCTTGTCATCAGTCTCAGACAAGTACACAAATTGGTTAAGAAAAAATTAAATTATCAACAGTTCCTCTCTATAATGAGCTCTTTTTTACTGAAGCATGTTGAATAGGACATTGTACATGGAACTTTTCAATGGTTAGGATTAAGGTAAGTTTCATTTCATTAAAAAGTCTCTCCTGATGTAAAACTGTTTTTTATTAATTTTTCTCCTCAGGAATAAAGTCATTGTTGTGCATTGCAGCTTGAAGCCAACTCCTGTGACCCAACCATGAAATTTCTGAAGAGGATTATTTGTCCTATGCGCTCTTTCATACTTACTTGAGCACCGTGTTTAAAGAGACAGGGAAAAGTCTGCTCCTGAGGCAAACGATGCCAGATCATACACTGAAATTTTCTTTGGAGAGGACTGTTGGTGTGTGACTCAAGTCTGGACTAATTATGGTCTGATTGTTCAGTTGCTGATTACTGCTGTATTTCAGTTATGCTGAGAGACTACAAAGTCAGGTGCAGTGAAATGTTATTTGAAATAAAAACTTTATTCACAACAACAAAGAGAAGCTATTGGGAGAGTTTTTGCAAATGAAAGTTTCACTGTTTCAAGTGCTCTAATTGCAGTTACACAATTCCTTTCATGTTTAGTATAATTGTTTTGTCATCTTCTTCCTCTGACTTGCAGTGGCACGGTGTGAGCTTGTGTGGGTCTGGAATGAAACTCACCACGATATGAGCATTCTTACTTTTGTGTCAGTTGTCTGCCTCTCTTGGTTGAGATGCAGGGAACCCATTTGATTGATTCTGTCTTATATTTACTCATGGTCTCACAAAGTAGTCAGTGGTGTCAACACCTTCCTGTCATCTCACCATCTTCTGCTGTAAGGAGCATGCTTTGCAGGAGAGTTGGACTCGATGATCTCTAGAGGTCCTTTCCAACCCCTACAATTCTGTGATTCTGTGGTCTTCTGTTCTAGAAAGCTGATACCATTTTCACTCAAAAGGAGGAGGAGCAATATGGTGATGTTCCTACAAGTAGCAAGATGTTACTGGTAATCTCTGTGTTCTAAGGGAAATGAATGAGAAGCCCAGAGCAAATAGGCTATTGTCTGTTCTGGGTGGTAGGGGGCACAGAATTCAGAGAAAGGAAAGGAATAGGTTGAGAAATATTCTGAGGGTGGCCAAAGCCCAGTGCATGCGAGGGAAGACGGGCCTTAAAAGATTAGAGAGAAGCAAGCTGAAACTTAGAACTATGTTACATGCAAATCTCATGTCCTGCAAATGTCATATCTACTGAATGATAGGATAAGTGGAGCAAATGGAAACCTTGGACTGTAAAAGACTGGTCACATTTTGCAAACGTAGCGGTTGGTGCAGGGAAATGTTGGAGAATGGAATGCTGACAGGTAAGCCACAAATCATTTTGTCTGACCTAAGCCTTTGTGATGATCCAGGAATAGACATTAAAGGCGCTAAATGTATCAGCACACACTGCAGAAGTACTGCACCAGCCACCCACCAGAACCACATCTATTTACTGCTGTGTCCGCGTCAGTAAGCCGTGCTCAAGTGGCTTTGGACTTGAGCTGTTTTGCTTTGTGCTACTGTACCAGACTGGTCAGCATCAGTGAACTTGCAGTTTGGAGGCTGCTTGAGTGCTCACATGTTCTACAGGTAGAGACATGAGGGCTAGTGGCTGTGTGTCTGCATTCCCAGCATAGCCCAAGGAGAAATGATTTAAAATTGCCTTACCTTTAACTTCACATGTTTGAAACTTAGAGAGTGAAAGTGCAACTGAAGTTAACACAAATAGTAATACAGTAATGTTCCTGTACAGCAAATAAACACACCATCTTCTGTCACCTTCAGGAGTTGTACTTACAGGCACCTCAGGGACTTCTCAGTAAACAGCAGGGAGCAATTACTTCTGTTAGATTTGAAGGTTTTGCTCATCTGTCTCATGGTGTGAGCAGCTATGTAGGCTGTAGTATTCAAATGACCTGCAATAATGAAGTTATTTACTATAAAAGAGTTACTTCAAAATAATAAAATGAGGGTAGTTCTGCATGTTAGATTTTCCTTTCCCTAAATAAGAGCATATATTTCTTTTACCTGCTGTTCTGTTAGTAGGCACCTGTCATGATCATCTCCAGTACCTGAAGGGGGACTACAGAAAAGCTGGGGAGGGACTTTTTATAAAGGCATATAGTGACAGGACAAGAGGAATTGGTTTTAAACTGGAATGGGGTAGACTGTGATTAGATATTAGGAAGAAATTCTTTACTGTGAGGGTGGTGAAACACTGGAACAGGTTGCCCAGTGATGTTGTGAATGCTCCCAAATTGAAAATGTTCGAGGCCAGGCTGGATGGGGCTGTGAGCAACCTGGTCTAGAAGGAGGTGTCCCTGCCTATAGCAGGAAGTTGGAACTAGATGATCTTAAAGGTCCCTTCTAGCCCAAACCATTGTATGATTCTATGAGCAGGTTTCATCTTACAGCCAAGAGGCCAAATCACTGGGGAAGTGCAACAAATAACTTCATATAGATATTGTGATACTGGGGAGAATAGTGAGATAAACACGTGAGTCACAGTTTTGCAAGCTGTGCTTATAGTTTCCACTGTAACTTCAAACATCCATTCAGCGAGGGTAGGTTAAAGCTTTCTGAAGCTGGAAGAGAATTCTCTGGGAAGCAATCAGTGTTGAATAACCCATCTGGGACCAATGTAGTTACTGACATAGATAAATGCTGGTATGAAATGAAGCTGGAACCAGATCTTCCAAGATGCTTGAGGTAATGGATGTCCACAGAAAACAACCATAGAATTAATGTGGCTGTACGTAAAGTCAAAGACTACATATGAAAAAATATGCCTTATTTTCTTCTCAAATAACTGTTTTGTGTCCTTTGAGAAGGCTACTCTCTGCTGCTGCAGTCTTCCAATATGGCTTAGCCTAAAATGCTTTGCTAAAATTACTATGGAATCATAAAATTGTTTGAGTTGGAAGGAACCCTGAAAGGCCAT